CCATATTGATCGGATAAGCCATCTCGAAAAAAGCTTGCCTAGATGAAACGCGTCTACAGACGTTAGCAAATTTCATCTTGCCGGGTCGATTTTTCATGTTCAATTTGATTCTACAATGTCGTAACCAAACTGTCGAGCCAGATCGAACCGAGTTCTATCGATTGGGAATGTTTTATACAGGTGAGATAGCTTGTGTGGATGGCTATCGGTCACAGACGGCAAGACGTGTGAAAATCGATTCTAATACCTATGTTACGATAGTAACAAAGGTAATAGAGTTGCGAAGGTGAACAAAAATTACTCCAATAAAAGGGCATTTCGATAATTTTGGAACTATTCTAAATTCAGCTCCCACTGGGTGTTAGCACATTCCTGAGTGGAACTAAGATCCTGAAATCCACTTCCGTTGACGCTAGACGTTGTTAGCTGTTGTTAAATGTAACCTCAAAATGGGTATGTGCGTCTCTTAATAGATGGTTACAGCTAATTGTTTCAGACAAAATTTAATATTCAAGTAGATTGATGCGTCTGCACGATCCAGCTGTGTCCAACGAAAATCAATCCTTTGAGCGCATTGGACCGTCTTTGAGTAAATACAAGAATGGTAAAGAGTTAAGAGAAGAGGATGATTTATTTTCTACTTGTAGTTCTGTAGCCGGCGCCAGTGGTGTAGTGGTAAGCGTGACTGCTTTCTCACCCCAATGGGTTTGGCTCACGTCTTCCTTCGGAAGGTACGTAAGGCCGTTGGTCCCGGCCCATGTTTGTTTGAATGGGTGCGATATCCTACCCAGGTGTGGAAGCTGCCTTCCTACACATTCGATTGCCGTCAATGGATGGCAATCGATGTCCGTCGGTGATTGGCACTAGATTGCGGAACAGAGACCGACGTTAAATAAACGAATGAAGACTTGTAGTTCTTGTTTGCTTATTCTGTTCTTAACAGACTGATTAGCTCAGAGAATCAACTAAATGAGAATTAAGGATAATGGTCTTGCTTGGATGGATTTTCTTTTGATTGCTCAGAGTAGAACTTTTATGATTGAATAATGATTCAAAGGTACGTAGAAGCATTACCTTGACAGCATAAAGTGGCTTAATTGAGTATTCTAGGGCTTCACTGTAAACCTAGTTTACTCGGGAAATTAGTTTCTCATTGAAGTTGTGATGTTGCTGCTATTGCAATTGAGATGGAATTATCTTACAGAATTTTGGAGGTGAATGCCCAAGTAACAATTTTGGTTTTATCATGGGTTTGAAGAGGTTTATAAAGCTTAGAATGGACTTAAGGACCATAATAAAACCGGAAATGTCGCTTGGGTGTGCTGTTTTTACGATTCCCCAACGAAGGAATCCGGCCGCGAATTAGCGTTTGGTTAAGCGTATTATCCGTCTCAAAATGTGCTCAAGAAAACAAAAATATAATGAGATTAAAGACAAGTGTTTCATATGTAAGATGTAGGAGAACTGAGCGAATTTCAAACCCCTGGTTTTGATTTCAGAAATAGTCAGAAAAGAACTTCTAATGGTGAGGAAATTGCCATGCCAAGGATCTCTTTTCGTATCATGATGTAAATCGAGGTAAGAAACTGTTCCGGAACTTGCTGATAACTTTAAGCGGTTCTTTTTTTGAAGATTTATATCGAGATAATTGCAGTTTCCCTCACACAAAGCTACTGGCGCTATTTTTTAATAATGCCTTTATTTTTCCAGGCTCATTTGCTGTAGCTTTGCGGAGCCAACTTATTACAACAAAATTACTTAAAACTAACGTTACTAAAGCGGGGGCCGATTACTCGCGGCTATCTCGAGGTAAGGGGTAACAAATTGTAACAAATGGTTTGGCAGGGTAGGGATTGAGAACACAAGGTTTGGAGAGCAATGTGCTCTTGATCTCGAACTAAGCGACATACTGATGAAAAAGACAAACATGGGGCAGCTAACAACTTGGGAGAACACAAGATGACACTAACTACTAAATACTCAGATCTATCTGTTTTAAAAACACATAAATTCAAATAGTCGAAATCTCGGCTAGCCAAGACATCTCTAACGGGTATCGCGGGTTGTTTTCCTCGGGCCCTGAGGGATGTGGATAACTCAGATCTGGCAACACGGTGTAGGGTACATGACCAAACAACATGCTCGATATCATGATAACCACTGCCACACGCACAGCGAGCGCGAGTCTAACGAACAGTGATTGGACATAAGCCTTGACATAAAGCGTATAAAGTCACGGCTCAAGTCCAACCCTTTGAACCATGGTTTGTTCGACACCTGTGGGAGAATAGAATGTAACCATCTTCCCAAATCACCATCATTCCATTTTTGTTGCCAACTGATAAGGACTTGCTGCTGATGCAATGGAGAAAAAATCGTTGAAGGCAATTTGTCGCTCAAAGCTACTGGCGCTTGTCATGTTAAAAATGAGTGAATTTAGAAAAAGGCGGTGCCTTCCAGCTTTTGGAAACGCGTGATTTCTGTCTTTTTTGCATTCTATAAAATGTATCGAATGTATTTGAGATTGTATTGGACCACTCTTCATGAGTTAGAGTTTTTTCCAGAAAGTACTAGTACATATCTAAGGAAAGTAATAGCTGATGAGGTCGTCGTGTTGCCAAAAACGGGTAGGCACAGTATCTGGACTATTTTTTTTTAATTACTGGAAAATCAGGGAATATTAGGAAATTTAGTTTTCTTCATTGAGTTGACACCCTGATTGAACATTTTTCAAGCTCTGTGTGCTTGGGAATTGAGCTTATGGACGATAAGTAATGAATTTGATGTGAATTTCCAAGGCACTCTGGGGATAATTTCAAGAGAATTGTTAGGAAAACCTGAAGTGAAATCTGAGGGTAGGCACCTTCCAGGTCAATTCTAACCATATTCCAGGTGAAACGTAAGGAGAATTCCAAGGTAGTTCTGAGTAGAATCCCTAGGGAATTCATAGTAGGATTCAATGGGAATTTTCAACATAATTCTGAGAATGATTCCAAGCTGAACTCCATGCTACTTGTGAGTAGAATGTCAAGAGAATAAAGAGAATTCTGAAACGGAAATTTCTAATTAAATTTTGAGGTAAATTTCAAAGGAATACTTAGGAGGGTTTCAAGGCTATACCTGTTATCTTTTTTACATAGATAACCCATAAATGAGTTCCTAGAGAATTCTGAGGAGCATTTCAAGGAACTTACGGGACAATGGATGGAATTCCGAAGTTAATTTCATGGGAATTTTAGGTGAATAATCAGTTAATCATGAGGAGTGTTTATTTCAGGAGAATTCTTTTGGATGTTCGTATGTAATCGACGTCCTCTTCTTATTCGCATTTCAATCTTATTACTTGTAGCATATTAGCTTATTGCGTGCTCTCAACTTAGTGTTCTAGTTGCACTTCCACAGTTATTAATTGAGAGCTTCCGATGCCTGTACCGTTTTGCATTAGTTTAATTGTGTGGCTATGCCCAAGGAAGTCGAGACATTTTCCAACCCGAATAGACGGGAATCGAACCCAGCCACCTCCAGCATGGGTCTTGCTTTGTAGCTGAGCTAAAGGAGGTCCCGATAGGTAATAGAAGGAACCCGATTAAGAATTTGAAGAGAATTGCAGAGTTTTTTTTTTTTTTCTTTATTATAGAGATTTTTAGCCATAGGGTAGTTCATCTCTTAGAATTGCAGAGTGAATCAAAGAACCTTCTGCAGAGAATTTGTTGATAATGATGGAGCAAATTGCAAGGAAATCGTAAGTCGGACTCTGAGAAATTATTGAGAAGGAAGGAAATCCTTGTGAATATTCTAAAGAAATCCTTTGTAGAGATCCAAGGGGGTATCAAGATGGGGGGTATCAAGATGATACAAACATAGAAGTTACAGAAGAAAAATCAAAATATGATTTAAAAAAAAATCTTAATTCTGAGACTTCTCATGCTTATACATGTTCTCTTTATTCTGATGGATTAAGACAAATATTCAATCTGGACTATGAAAAACTTTCAAGATTGAAAACTAAGAGAAACATTCTAAATGCTAAACTTTGAAATGTTTCGCAATTAAAATAAATCAAGAATGCGAGACTTTCTGGCCTCTTGATTTTTTTTTTAAATTTTGATCCTAGACAAATTTTCAAAATTCTATAGATTTTGAAATTTTTTGTTAACTTCGGCTTATTCTGGAACTAGATATCTCTTCGTTTGAAATTTTACCAGTTCATTCATGATATTGCAGTTTGCATTGAAGACGTTAACGTCATTAACGACCCTGATCCTGAGATCATACAAGAAGTGTCAATAGCAGTATAGACAGTTCTGGATTAGCAATAGAAAAGGGCCCATCAGCATTTGTAAACAAACCGTTCTAAAGCGCTTTCCTCACAAAACGGAGGCCACCCACGGAAACGAACACCGTCATCGTATAGGGGATACTTTAACCTATCCGATGATGGTGTTGGTTTGCGTGGGGGACCTTCGCTTTGTGAGGAAAGGGCTTTAGAACGGTTTGTTTACAAATGCTGATGGGCCCTTTTCTATTGTTGATCCAGAGTTGAGCATTACCAAATAAACGAAATGAAACAAAAAGAAAATCAATAGCAGTACGCCTACCTACCGGCTATTCAGTTTAAAGTTTGTAGAAAATTAAATCGAAAAACATTGTCTGTACTTGTACTAATAAACTAGTGATGTATTGCTTGTTCATGATTCAAACTTACTCTCTAAAGCGTAACTATTTGTATTCGGATAGATTCTACTCATATTTTGCCAAAAACAGGTCAATTGTTTCCCAAGTACTCAACTTAGACCGCGAAACGGTAAAATCCCTACCCAATTTAAAGATTTACTGCCTAGTCTGTACTTAGCGTGTATGTTGATAAATTGGTCTAGCCCTGGTATCTCGCCGTAACCCACGTCAAATGAATTACCATCCTTCTCAAGCTCGATAAACACGAATCCACAACTCTAAACCATTTTACCACCAAAATAACCAACATCGTCCGTATCTGGCAGGATCGAATTTGTCTGCAAAGTTCCAGTAGCCGACGACAGTACAAGTGTGTTCTGGTGTGTACGCGTAGGAGTACGGAAGAAGAATTTCGATTTGTGTGACGACGAAAGCCAGCAGTAGCTGTGTGTTGAAGGCTTGTGCATCGACGGCAATCAAAAGCCATCAAAATTCATCTGGAAGTGGTGAGTATCGTATCGAATAAGAATGGTGAGCTCCATAGAACATTTTTCCCCCTTTCATTAAACTGAAGTCGCCGGAGCAGACACGCATCATCCGCCGTCGTTCGAAGCTGGGTCATGGGCTTTTTCTCCGTGCACTTGATGTGTTAATGCACTGAAATGAAGGGTTGCCGCTAGTCGGTCTCATAATGCAGGAAGCGAACGACTTGGTTTCGACTTTCGAGAACATCGAGTCAAGTTGAAATCTTAGTGTCTCTGTCTTGCTTTTTAACCATTTTATACTTTTGTTAGTTTCGTGGGTACAACGATGAAGACGTAAAAGTATGTACATAACATAACGAGGGAAGCGGGAACGAGCAAGAAGCACCAAAACGTTTCTTCGTCGGTCGGTCGTTCGCACTCGTTCTCCGGATTTGTGTGTATATTTCTGACGTTTTTTGACGGCTCACACGCTCGTTCCCATCATCTCCCAAGTCGTTCCGATTTCGTTGATTGTGTTCGTATCGCTATAGTCCATCGACCGACCGATCAGTCAGAAACTCTCTCAGTATCTAGTCATTGGTCACTATACCACCGATGCCGATGCAGAATGCCTGACAGCGTTTTTCCTCGTTTTTTGTTTGTAGAACATTTAAGACCTAGGTGTATATGTGAGTTCGTGCGGTCCTCGCTGGGTTCTTGTTTACCTCTGGATTGTGTGAGTGGTGCTATCGAAGTACGTGCATTTTGGTTAGGCACTGTGTGGAACGGTTGGGCTTTGCAGTGGTCACAATAACTGTTATACAGCGGCTCATGGTTACTCCGTCGCATCGTAGCAAAAATTAGCAAGTAAAAAAAAACGCATTTGAAGTTTGTTTTGTACCATGAAGTAAGGGGATATCCTATTCGGATTTTCCAAACTTTTACTGAACCAAGCTGTCCAGATTATTCAGCATAGATGAATTGATAAATTTTTGAAATATTGACTAGTGGTCGATTTTCAACATTTTTATAGTTGACGGATTTTAGTAAATTTAGCGTCATTTGAAAGATCTTTATTATGACTACAAATGAGCAAAATTTCAGTATGTTTGGCGCATCGTAATTCAAGAAAATTTGTTTTTTTTTAAATAGCTTAAACTTCTTACACACTTTTTCAAATACGCCCAATACTATAGCGATAACCAATAGCAGCCAAAAATACAGAAATCTATCTTTTTAAGTTGTGGTCGTACAGCTGTTTTGCCGTATGCTCAATTTTGAAATATTCTGTATATATGTGGGTGATTTACTATCATTAAATGTAAATGTTGGCCAAAACACAAATTGGGCCGACTTGCTCACCGCAGCAGTAAAATTGATACACAGTATCGGACATAAATATATCTAGCTGAACGCATTCAATGCGACAAGCACGACAAAAACGATTCAGTACCATAGTTATTAACGAAATAGATAGTCGATGAACTGAATCGAGGACCTAATGCATTGTTCAGCTTGATATAACATCACGATTTTTTTCACTGCAAAAAAGTTCAAAGAGCCATCACTTTTTAGGATGTCCATGAAATAATCTGAAATGTTGGTTGCTGGTTGATCAAGTATTCAAGATAGGTGAAATTGCTCTAATGTTGGCCTATGGGTCTAAGATTAGGCCCATCGCTAAAAATCTGCTATTTATCAATTTTATTTATTATTTGAACGCGTCATTGCACACTGGGGACAAAATCGAAACAATGTGTTAAAATTCAATAACTTCGGTGCTCGCTGGAACAAGAGACTAAAAAATAGTCATTCTTATAGAAAAAAGTCTCAGGAATCGATTGGAGTAGGTTTCATCTTGGGCACGATAGGGTAAGTTGGGGTTTTTTACAGTTTTGCCTTAAAATCTCCTATTTTGCATGATTTGAATGCTGTATCTCAAGATACCGATGATATAGACGGATAATTTCTTCGGCAAAGTTGATCAGGAGATCAAGGACTGTTGGATGATGGACAGAACAATTCGGAATTCCTCCGCCAGGTGGCGCTAGTGAGCATTCGAAGTGAATATGTTTGCGCTGCTGTATCTCAAGATCCTGACTATTTAGACGGATGATTTCTTCGGCAAAGTTGATCAGGAGGTCAAGGATTGTTGGATGATGAACAGAACAATTCGGAATTCCTCCACTAGGTGGCGCTAGTGATTATTGAAAGTGAATATATTTGTGCTGCTGTATCTCAAGATCCTGACTATTCAGACGCATGATTTCTTCGGCAAAGTTGATCAGGAGGTCAAGGACTGTTGGATGGTGGACAGAAAAATTCGGAATTCCTCCGCTAGGTTGCGCTAGTGAGCATTCGAAGTGAATATGTTTGCGCTGCTGTATATCAAGATCCTGACTATTTAGCCGGATGATTTCTTCGGCAAAGTTGATCAGGAGGTCAAGGATTGTTGGATGATGGACAGAACAATTCGGAATTCCTCCACTAGGTGGCGCTAGTGATTATTGAAAGTGAATATATTTGTGCTGCTGTATCTCAAGATCCTGACTATTTAGCCGGATGATTTCTTCGGCAAAGTTGATCAGGAGGTCAAGGACTGTTGTATGGTGGACAGAACAATTCGGAATTCCTCCGCTAGGTTGCGCTAGTGAGCATTCGAAGTGAATATGTTTGCGCTGCTGTATATCAAGATCCTGACTATTTAGCCGGATGATTTCTTCGGCAAAGTTGATCAGGAGGTCAAGGATTGTTGGATGATGGACAGAAAAATTCGGAATTCCTCCACTAGGTGGTGCTAGTGATTATTGAAAGTGAATATATTTGTGCTGCTGTATCTCAATATCCTAACTATTTAGACGGATGATTTCTTCAGTTATGGTTGATCATGTGCCACATCAAATGACGTGAGAATTTTCAAATAAGATCATTGGTAGTCATATTGAGTGTAAATAGGGTCAGACCATAGGTGAATAAATTGGGATTTTTCCTATACATATAAGCAAGTTTGGTCTCTTAATATCCATTAAAATATAAACTACAGTAATGACCTGATTTTATCAGTCCCTTCACGCATTATTCTTTTAATGTTCAGTAATTTCCTATATCCATAATTCGAAATCTTTTCCATTAATCTTCTTGATCGATGTTTAGGATAAACTTTGGTGCAATAAAACCCTTGAAATAGCGCATGGGTTTCGTAGAATATTGGAAAATATTTTTAAAAAGGGGGCTGATAAAATCGGGTCATTATTGTATATATTATATCTTTACAAAAAATTCCACCGGCTGGAGCAGGAATCGAACCCTCACTCCATGGCACACGCAGAATAGCTGTTAGACGGGTGACGCCACTAACCACTCGACCACGAAGACCACTTTGACGAGAAAATGTCGTCATCGAAACCCAATCCAAAACAATTATTTTTTTATTCTTGTCTCTTGCGTGACAGTAGCTCAGTGTAGTGCAGTTCTTACGTGGTGTTAAGTGTGTTCCACTGAATTTCATTAAGCAAAATGCTGTCAAATAAAAATATCGTTGAGGAATATTTTGCGTCTGGTCGAGATAAAAACCTTTTACTTGACTTTGTGTCTAGGGCACTGTCGAAAGCACCTGCGGATGTTGCGCAAGGTGTTAAAAACTGGATTGGTCAATTTAATCGGCGATGGTCAAAAACCCACAGTAAGGATCGATTCTTTAAGAAGAATGCAGAATGGCTTGAAAGCATATTCGAGGTAAGAATCCCTGGGCGTGCTTAATTTTAGAAAGCAGCATAAATTATCGAAGAAACGTTTTTAATACGATACCGTCGAACATTAAAAAAAATAAACAGTTCGGAAAATTGTACCTGTTGAGCAAAGTGCTAAATTTAAAAAAAAAACAACGGATTCCAAACCAATTTAAATTGAACTTGAATGAAAATTAGTTAAAGCGTGGAAATGCGATAATGTAAAGCAAGACATACTACTGATAAAATCTGTTTTTGTTCTTGTTACTAAATAATCAATAGCATCAATCGCGATAAGAAAAATCTTCTTCTATTTGTATTTGTATGAATATTTTAGAAAAATCCTAAACAAAAACTACAGACTCTAAATTTTACGAAAATCAATCACATCATCATACATCATCAATTATTTTATCAGGTTGAAGACCAACCCTCAGGATACAGGCCTTCGAAAAAAACGCAGGTCCATTCAAGGAAACCCAAAGATCCCTCGTCACAATCATCTCCTATTTCACCTCCTTTTACCACTCCGAATTTGGATACCAGTTCCAACAGTCAGCGAACACCGTCAACCCTAAAGCCTCGAGGTCGAAAGCGCAAGGAGTTTAGCCAGTTGACAAGATTTTCGAAATACAGACGCAGTATCGGACTTTTCAAAGAACAAGGTCTTGATAACTTGCTGTATTCAGCCAAAATTGCTGCCATAAAGGCTGCTAATCCAGCAACTGCTCAAATTTTACAGCACATGTTGAGCGGCGGTGAGGTTTGGGCAAAAGAGACCATCGAATCCGTTGACTCTGTTCGTGGAACATCTCTGTGTTCGGAGGAATCATCTTTGGCGATAAAATCAAAACTTGGGTTAAGTAAAACCAAATATGGAGAGCTGGCTCGATTCACTAAGAAGCATCTAGGTATGACAGTTTAATTAACGTATATATAAAAGAAATACTTAGTAGAACATTTTTTTGTTTAAAATAGGTCAAGTTTCTAAATCTTTGATCAATTTTAGAGATGTGCATTGTTATTAGTCCCTTCATATTGTCCCATTTAGGTATTGCAATTTTGCAGCCCTGGAAAAAAGTAGCTGAATTTAGAAAAAACCATAATTCCACCGTTCTCAACTCCAAACCGAGAAAAAGGATAATTATCATCAAGCGTTTTAATCCGTGATATGGTTATATGTGATTTGACACGGATTCTACAACTGGATGATGTAGCAGACAGGATTTCAAAGTTAAACCAGAAAGTGTTGACTTGTAAATTGCATGTCACGGCTGGTCCGGACTCTGCTACAGGTTTTACGCACTACAACCAGACTGGATTTTTAAAAGAGGATGAT